TAAGACTCCACCAAAAAAAAAAAAATAAATAAAAAAAAAAAAAAAAAAAAAAGGCCCAGCTTGCCAGCCCACTGCGTGCTCTGTGTTTGGTTTCCGCTCACAGCCTGTACAGCCCTGCCTGTGTGGATCTGTTGAGTCATGTTGCATGACTGTATGGGATGGGGCTGTTTGCTTCAAGCCTGCTTTTTGTTCCCAGCTCTCCTGAACCATCAAATGTTACCCGTGCTAGGGAGCCACAATGTTGTCATCAGGCCCCTTTTCCTCCTTGGCAGACAGGAACTCTGGGGATCAAGGGGGCCATATATAGCCTGTGCAAGAAAAGCATGGGGACACCCATTTTCTGAGGGGTACAAAGAACCATGGCCCTGCTCGTGGTGTCTCCCTGTGACCAATGTGCAATGCACTGGGCCACGTCACAGCAGCTTCTCAGGTCTCAGTAGTTCCTGTGGATAATGGGGAGAACCTCTGCATCAGTGTCTGCTTTTGAGCAAGCCTCTGAGATACCTACACAGGACCAGGCCAGCACGCGATCTGAGGTGTCATATTCACGAACCTGGAGTCCAGCCACGGGTCCGTGGTTACACAGAGGCACGAGTAGGAGCCAGTGCTACACTGATGCTCCTCAGACCCTGTCAAGGGAGCACTGGGGGTGTGAAATGCCTGTGTCTTACCTCAGCATTAATTCCTGAGTACCACAGAATCATGGGGTGTGTCAGGCTGGAAGGGACCCCAGTGGGGCATCTGGTCCAACTCCCTGCTCAAGCAGGGCCATCCTAGAGCACATGGCACAGGATTGTGTTTAGACACCTCTCTGTGTGTATTGAAGCAGAAGACACAAGTGTCATCATTAGAGATCCCCCCAGTTTGCCCCAAATCCGTGTGTACTTCCAACTGATGCAACTCAGTCTTCTTGGGATTTGTTTTTAATTACAAATGAGCTTTTTGTTCACAGTAGTAGGTACTAACTTTCCTTATGGGCTTTAACTGCTTACAGAGTTGTTCCTGCAGCAGTGGTGTCGCCTCCACTCTTTCTGCAGGGCTCACTGGTATTAAATTGCTGTAGATGCTTCTCTCTGCAGCCATCACCAAGCAATGGAGACACTGCATGGTTTTTGAAGCAGGAATCAGGTGTAACAGTCATATAATCTTCCCTGTACAGAAAAACATTATATTTTTCTGTGGATGTCTTGTTTTGTTTCTGTCAAACATAAAGCCTGAAGGCAACACTGGATGCATGCTTGCTTTTCCCTCTTCCCAGTGTTTCCCCTCCTCTGTACTTTGCCACCCTATCTTCCCTCTTGTTGGAAAGGTAAATCTTTGAACATAACAATTTATCAGTCCCTCTTTTCATATTGCCTGGATTTGAATAAGAAAGTCAGAATCTCTAAAACTCATTGAAAACTCCTTTATTTGCTCCATTCTTTGGGGAAAAAATTGTGGTGTTAGTGCTCTACTGTTTGAAAAAAGTGATATTTGGAAAAGGCACATTGCTTTTAATTGCAGTCCAGACTGTCAGAACCAGAAAATTTTAGGCTTTCTATGCTGAAGTAAGAAATCATAAAATTGGTAACTTTTTTGGTGTTGGAAGAGACCTTCAAAGATCATCTGGTCCACTCCCACTGCTGTGGGCAGGGACACTCTTTCACTGGATCATCCGACCTGTCTTTTAACATTTCCAGTGATGAACATTCACTTTTCTGGGCAAGCTGTTCCAGTGTCTGGGAGTCAGTCAGCATACATCATATCCCCAAAAATATGTTTATTTCTATGTTTTTTAGATTTTGTATTCTGGTCTTCTTGGTCATGGCTTGTGTGAGTACCTAGTTGCTTCTCTGGGTTCTAGGACTGTGGCACGCTAGTCTGAAATTCCTTCTTCTTTCCCAAGGAACTCAGGCAACTCATGTCTGTTTTGCATCAGATCTCTCATGCCTCTGACACAGGCTGAGGTCTCTGTGCACTACTGGTTTCTTTTTGCTGAACAGGAGCCTCTACATTTTTAAAAAATTTTATTCCCATGGTTGGGGAAGGTTCTCTTTTTCCAGATCAAACCATCAGCATGGAGATGCCAATTATCCATAGATCCCTGGGCAATTAGTTGGATTGGGTTCAGTGTGTGTATTCAGGAGCAGTCAGTATATATTTTTTTTTGGTTTTTTTTTCAGATCAGTATAGCTTGTTGTTTCTTGTTGAAAATTAATTTCTGGTATTAACAACCCTCTCTCTTCTCAGAATTCTTTTTTTTTTTCCTTAGTGGTGCCAGCAGGAAACCCATTTCTGATGACAGATATTTATAGGAGTAATAGACCTTCAGTTTTCCAGATTTCAACTGAAATGTCTACTTTGCATTTCAAAAAAAAAAAAAAAAGTCTGAAATACTTTCAGAAGGTCTGCTATTTTCTGAGAAACTCTATTAAAAATTAATTTTCAGTTCTTTCCTTTTCTTCCTGCCAATATTCTCTGACAGGTGGGTGTTTTTTCTGGCCAGGAGAGGGGCTAATCTGTTTTCTTCTTATCCTGGCAAGGCCTATGGCTCAGAGATTGCCCCTGTACTTGTACTGCTGCTGAGGGCAATAAGCTGAAGCTCTTCACCAAAAAAATTCAGCTGATTTCATTCTCCCAAATCAACAGCTACTTTCAAAAACAGAGAGGAGTACTTTTGCCAATCTCACATCTCTCTTATTTCCCCATGAAAAGTTACTCAGACTTCTGTGCCAGCCAGAGGAGAAGCATCAACTCTCCTCAGTGGTCATCACAATTAACTTGAAGCTGTGAGCCAGAGCTGCATTTCTTGAGCCCAGAGCTCTCCCATGCAGGAGTTGTATCTTTAGTGAAGGGTGCCACATTAGGAAAGAGCTTCCAGACTCTCAACAGCAAGTCTGTTGCAATAACTTTGTTGATCAAATAAAGTTTCTGTTCACAGCACAGAGCCAGAAATGTTTTTGATTGCAGCCTTGAGGGGTATTTCTTGGCTCATAGTCAATATTTTAAGCAGTGTGCTGCTCTACAAGTCATTACCAATGTTTGAAATCTCTTCCTTCTTACTATTATCCTCAGAGATGTGGAATGAAGACTATTTACCTTTCCCTCATAGTTCATTATGATTATTAAGCCAGGTATGAGGACTTGTGCATAAGCGTTGACTATAGCAGGCCTGTTCTGGCTGTGATATTATTTTCAGAAGAAGTGAGTATATTCAGAAATATGGCCAAGTTTTTATTTTTTTCTTCTCCTAACTGTATTTGCATACAAAGATTTCAAGATTTCACAATACCAGGTTGTATATGCACTCTGTGCTGAAAGCAGTAATAGCAAGGTTTCTCACTGCCACATTACCAAGACACTTAAGCCTCTTCATTAATTATCTGCTGCCTATACCTTCAGATTCCAGCATCTGTTCTCATCACTGCTCATTCTCTTAGCTGCCTTTCCACCCCCCACTGAATTTAAAGATATTTTGGGTGTCCCAGCTGCCCCCTTGGATCTTACCAGTTCCTATGAAACAGATCCTGAGGTCATCTAGAGAAGTGAGGAGTGACTGAGGTCCCAGTATAGATGAGGGGTTGTGAGCACTTGCAGATGTGTCCATACCACACACACAGCAGCTGTTTCCAGCTGGAACCACAATGTGCGGCTGTGCAGTACCATGCAGGGGTGCTGAGAGGGTGGGAGGGGGTGTATATATCCATTGGCACTGGGTTACATGGCAGCAAAAGAACAAAGCTTGTTCAGCCAGGCTTTGACCAACCTGGCTATGCTGATTCTAGCCTTGGAAGCACCTTGGGCTCTGCAGACCACCTTCACTTGGTGCAGTGAAGGTGTATCCTGAAGTCCTTCATGGCTGTCTAGCTACACAACTGAGCCCTGTTTTCAGACCCATTTACATGAGACTTCCACATTAACAATTACATTCAGGCTCCTCCATGCCAAAATCTCTTTGGCAAATGCAAGTTTCTGTTATAAGTCACTGCAGACAGTGGGTAGATTATTTGTTACATCTGAAGTCCACAGGTAGGAATTCTCTTAGCCCCTTTTTCCAAGGATGGGAAGATGGCAGTGGTGAAGATACTGCTGTTGATGGAAGTCGGAACACAGAGAGCAAGCTGTGATGGGTACAGAGCCTGAACTGTCCTTTTATTCCCTCTTAAATTTAGGCTTGACAGGTCACTGTGGAACAACCTGATATATTTGTTCTCTGGATGGAAAAACCTGAAATTTCTCTGGCTTTTTATTTGTCTTATTTCATAAGCACTTCACCCATCTTTTAAATAAAAATGCGATGTCTGCATAGCCCGTGAGCACTTTCACACTGTACAGTTTTCTCCTGAAAAGCAAATATTTTCCTGCTCTGAAGAATGTGTTTTTTTGCTGGGCCCATCAATTTGCATATTGTCCCCATTGGCAATATCCTTTATCCTCTGCTTCCGGGTCACTGTGGCACTACTGCAGGAACAGGGCCTGTTTCATGACTTGTTCACGTAGCACCTACAAAAATGAGGTTGTAATCTAAACACACATCCCTAGTCCATAAATACAATAAATTGGCATAATGAAAATGGATAAACTGGGAGTGCATTTCATTGTGGAAATAGTACCTAATATGGGAATAATTCCTAACTCCTCAGGGTTCCAGTGCTCCTTTCTTCTTTGCTCACCGCAAGATGGTTTGTGTTAGGAATGATGACATTTGCTGAATTAAATTTCAAAAATATCTGAGTGGCAGCCCTACTGGGCCAGAGTCAAGAACTTTTCCATGTTTTCTAGTGCTTAGGCAATGTTCTTGGTTGGTGACTACTGAGTTTTCAGTTTATACTCTCAACGACACATTGCTGATGGCAAATATGATCTGACTCTTTGGTCTGGAAGTCTTAGCAATACAAATCTGTTTTTGTAACTTTGCTATGCTACGCTATCCAAAGAGAGAGCAGCATTAGCTAATAATTCTGTAGATATGTGGATGGCTTTTATTAATAATATAACCAGGTATTTTGTTTATGTTACAGTCCCTGAAAGGAAATGCTCACAATCAGGATCATGCTGCATTGAACTCTCCGCAAGGAACAAGACATACATGCTCCAAAGCGGTTGACTGCAAGAAAAAATGGATATAGATAGGATCATGTAGGGCCAGGAGCAGGTATGGGTACAAGGCTCTGCTAGCAGAACTGAGTAATGGGGACAGTGTCTCATCTTGCACACGGGGCTGTCACCAAGGTTAAGTCAACCTGTGTCAAAACTGTGTCCATGAAGAAAAAGAGACAGGTCATTGCCATGGAAGACTCCCTTCTGAAGGGAGAAGACCCAATATGCTGTCTGGAACAACTTCTGCGGGAGATCTGCTGCCTCTCTGGGACATGGGTTAAAGACGTGACAAGAAAGCTTCTTACTCTCAGATTGTTCTCCACTATTAATTTTCAGGTAGGCAGCAATGAAGTTGCACCAGGAAGTCCAAGGAAGATCAGGAGACACTTCAGAGCTTTGGGACAATTGGTTAAGGGATCTGGATCACAGGACGTGTTCCCCTTATCCTACCAATTGCAGGGGATGATAAGGAAAGAAATAGGAAGAGACAACAGATCAATACCTGGCTCTGAGTCTGGTGTTACCCTCAAAATTTGGGGGATTTTGATCATGGGTCAGTTTACATGACAGCAGGGAGACTAGTAACAGATGGGGCACATGTGTCTCAGAGGGGGGAAAGGATCTTTGCACTGAATACTTGGAAAAATTTGTTCACCAAAGGGATTGTTAAGCACTGGAACAGGCTGCCTAGGGAAGTGGTGGAGTTACTGTCCCTGGAGGTATTTAAAAGACATGTAGCTGTGGCACTGAGGGACATGGTTTAGTGGTGCACTTAGAACTGCTGGGTTAATAGTTGGACTCACTGCTGTTATAACTCTTTTCCAACATAAATGATTTGATGATTCTGTGACTGCATTCCAGCCTATCCATGTGCCTTTAAAATCAATACTCAAGATCCTCTCTGTTGCTAGATCAGAACAGAGTTATCTTTTAAGCAGTAGCAAATGTTCAGATACCAAAAAGACCACATAAAACTGTGGGTACATATAAAATGTTGTCAGTTCCCGGCACTTACCGGGTACTCCTCCAGCTCCAGACCACGCATACAGCCCCATACATGTAGCAGCTCCTCCAGACCTTGTGCCAGTCTCCCTGAAACTTGAAAATGTGGTACATGCAGGTGTACTTTCTAATGGCAGCACATTTCAGCAAGGTGCAGTGTTTGGTGTTAGTGCAGCTCTGAGGGAACTGTAGCTGCTCTGTGTCATCCTCCACTGATGCCATCTTTGCCTTTGCTTCTGTCTCCATTCAATCTGTTTTGATTAGGTTCATCACAGCCACCACAACACTGCTGCTGTGGAGCTCCCCAGAATGTCTGGCCCTGCCCGTACCTGGCACATTGAGCAGAGGTTTTAGGGCTGCTGAATGCCACGTGAGGAGAACTAACAGAGCTGCTGGGAGCAAGTCATCATGGGCTGAATACAGTTTGGGGTGAAAAGGCTAGCACAGGCACTTGGCTGCCAGAACACTCATGGGTAGAGAGGAGCCCTGAGGCAGCACTTTTGTACCATGTCTTCACTTTGAGGTTTGGATCTGGCCTTGAAGGCATCTCAGAGCCCTCGGAGGCTTTGAGGGTGGTATTGGTGCTGTGTATGGGTGTGCTGTTGATGCATTATAGAATTCAGAAGGCAAAAGCTTGGTCAAAGAAACAGCAATTAGTCAGGAGGTGCCTAAAACTGAAGAGAACAGATGGAAAAAGTAACCCAGATGTATGAACTAAACAAAACAAGTTGTATATAAACAGTCTCAAACTGTTTACAAGGTCCAAAAAAAAGAGGAATACAAAAGATTTTTTTTCTGTTTGAGAGCAGAGGACACATGCTGATTCTTTGTCCCTTCCACCAGTGTGGGACAGCTTGTTGCTGGTGATGACACAGTCTGTGCCTGTGGTGTTTTGGGATGTGGGGCTCCCCACATTACACAAGTGCTTCACCCAGCCATTTCTGCAGTCTCTGCCAGATACATCAGGAGAAGTGTAACAACTACAGGCACCCGCTCATTTGACTTATTTCTCTTCTGCCCTTCTCGCTGTATCAGAGCACCAAATCATCCCCTGCCCTGGAGCAATCAGTCATTAACGAGGACCTTGCTACAGCCAGGGGTCTTCTCAAGCCACTGCAGTCAAGACTACTTCTGGGAAAGAGAAAGCAAGTTCTATTTTCATCTGCTGCAAAAAGAAAAAAATGACAATTTTAAAATCCTGTGGTTATTTTTTTACCCCATACCCATGCAGGACAGCATGGTAAGCTGCAGCACTGCAGAGAGATGGCTTGTCAGAAGCTTGTCTACCACGATGAGTAAATAAAAATTCAGCAAATATATCCCCTTTTCCCAAGAGAGGGGGAAGTTGGCAGAGGACATCCAGAGGATGCAAAGGGCTAGCAAACATTGCAAAGACTGGAGTTGCATGGAGTTGCAGATCTCTGGCTAGAGAGAGAAATTGCTTCAGGCGGCCAGAGGATGCTTCATGAGCCCTCTGTTCGCAGAAAAGGAGCCTGCTGAAGTGTCTGTGGTGTGCATGAGTGGAAGCAGCAATAAAGTAACTGTGCTAGGATCCTCAACTGAACAGAACCTGCTGCAAGGAGACATGGTCTGGGTTAGTTGATGACAAGCAGAATTCCCAGCAACAATTGCCTCCTGCCCTGGGATATCTATTCTTCTACCATTTAGCTCTAAGTGAAGCAATTGGACTGTCAACACTCATGGCTAGACCATGCTCACAGGACCACAAGCCATGTTTCTACAGCAAAGTGGAGACTGAAGGTGGGCACAACACACCGCTGCCTGTGGGAGGAGGAGGGTTGGAGAGGGGCTAGGATTTCTTAACCTTTACTGCTAGCTTCTTGGAAGGAAGACTGCAGAACCTGCTTCTTAGCTGGCATAAAAAGACACATATCCATGGATCTGTGGAATGTTCATTTCCTTCACTAGGAAAAGAACAGAAACACAAAAACATTGGTTGGAAGAGTCCTCTGAGGCCCAAGGTCATCCAGGCTCCTGCTTAGCACAGGACTATCACATTACATCAAGTCAGCTTTGGCATTGTCTAGCCAAGTCTTGAAAGCCTCCAATGATGGAGAATGCAGAGTGTCCCTCTCTGGGACATGTTTTCTGTCCATTCTCTTCTCCCAAGCTCCAGACTGGGTTTGTTGCCCCTTATTTGTCCATCTGTTGCTTGCAGGATGGACTGGGGCCTGTCAGTCTCCCCCTGAGGGAGGCGTGATTTGCAGCAGGTCCTGTTGGATCACCCCTCCACCTCCCTGTCTCTGGACTAAGCCCACCCAGCTGGCTCAGCCTCTGCTCCCAGCTCACACGCTCTGCCCCAGCTGTCTCAGCACCTCTCTAGCTGGCTCTGCTCACACTGATGTGTCCAAAACAACACGGGACATCACCGGTGGCCTCTGTGGAACAGAGGCTTCCCTCTCCCTGCCAGCTACGTGCCTCTTCCTGCAGTCTGCCAGGCACTTTGTCCTGCTGGTGATGCCAGCACATGCTGGGCTCAGACAAGGTGGGACCTGTAATTATAGCAACATGAGAAGCAGCAGAGGTCTCATTCACTGCACTGGAGATAGTACAGTAAGCAAACAGTTTTAAAATCCAATTTCATAGACACAGAGATTACATTAATCTCTTTTAATAGCTAAACAATTCAGTTTTCAAGACAGAACAAAGCATGGGATATTCTTGACAAAACTGGTGCTTCAAAGGTGCCTACATCAGATTTCCAATCCTAACTCCTAAGCTCCTAATGGTAGAATTGTATCCGATTGTATCTTTTCATACAGTAGTGCTACAAAACTTGCTTTTAATCTCCTCTTTTTATAACATGCTGTAGATGCCTGGGCTTGCCTGTGGGAAGCAAATGTAGATTGTCTTTGCCTTCAAATTCCATATGAGGAAACTTACCCAACCCTCACCAACTGATCTTGGGGGCCTGTGGAACAATAAAAGCCCAAGTTATCAAAGTATCTGTAAACTGGCTTCTGATTTCTAGCTGGAGCACCTCCCTGAATCTGGACCCTTTGATTTAAAGTAGCTGCTTTCTTTCACCATGTCTCAACAGGCAGGAAAGAGCATTGCTTTAATTCCTGTTGGCTCAGTCGCATTAGCTCAACATGAGGAAAACCCCCCCTTCACCTCTAGAAATGCAAAAGTGAATGTGGATCTACACTGGAATCTTCTGCACTTGTAGTAAGTACTATGTAATATACAGGGATGTTTCTATACTGCCAAAAATATTGGTATAAAATTCTTTTCTTGCTGACATTCTTTTGTTTGGAGAACCCAAATTATCTGTCCTGGGGAAGGCACAATTTATTGAACTAGATTGCACATTTTTAGAGCATTTTCAGGTCTTGTGGTCTAGCCATATCCATTTTGGGCTGATTTATAGTGTTTGCGTTGTGATTTAGGTCTCTGAAAAAATGAGCTCTAACAAGTGATGGTGCAGTGACTGAAGAGGACCCACCCTGCTGCTTTTACTACTCTGCTGGCAAAGACTAGGTCCCTGCAGTAGAGCTGGCAGAAGACAACATATGTCCAGGGCAGAGCTGCTCCAAATGGCATTGGAGTTGAAATCTCCAAGGAGGTGGGATTAGACTAAACAGAAGACTGTGAACTAGACGTACTGAGATGTTGTCCACAATGGTTTATCCCCACCTAGAACAGCTCTGCTTCTGTGCCTCAAGTCCTAACAAATCCTGCCCCATGTTTCTGTCCCCTCCTTTACACCAGAACTGGCAGTCATCTGATGCGAATACAAAATTATATAGAGACTTCAAGCCAGCCAAAATTTCTTCTCATTCACCAAGCAGGTGTAGAGGGGACTGAAACACCACCAACTTCTAACAGATTAATCATGATACCTGTCTCTCAGGTAGTGGTAAAAGTGTCCTGGGGTCTCAGTGCCACTCTACCCTGTGGTCTCAGAGTGGTGTCAAGCAACAGCAGGTAATAGTGTCTTCATCTGCTCATTTGTTTTCCACTCAAACACTAATCTGGGGCCAGAGCCTTCCTCTGATGCTCCTGTATGGCCAGTTAGCAAGGCTCTGCTGCCAGGGCAGTCCCTTATCCTTCAGTGTAACCTCTGTTCTGCTACAGGGGGACCTGCCGCAGTGGTGGCCTGGCTGTCAGGAGCAGAGCTGTCATGAGCAGTTGTCTCTTTCCCCTCCTGACTCAGAGGGTGTCTGGCCAGAGACTGCTCTTGCATCCCCATGCAGCAGCGAGCAGGAATGACAGAAGGAGAGAGTCAGGACTGACTGACCTGAGCAGTATTTCCTAGCTAACTTACATGAGAGTTTTCCTCTCCCTGGCCTATTACTAACATGGCAAAAATCAGTGGGAAAATGCCTGGGCCTTAAATATACAATGAGCCTTTCCCCACCCATTACCACCTAACTGATAAGCTGCTTCAGGCTATCTTGTTTATATTTATGAGTCTTTAATACCTCGTAGCATTTGTGTTTGCCTTGAAGCTACAGGCAGCTATGTGCTGTAGCGTGCTGGATTTTTGTGCTGTAAGTACAAACAGATGTTTGAAGATCTGCTTTGAAGCAATCTATGCCCTCTACATTCTTTCCCAAGACTTCTCAGGAGTAGTATGCGTCACTATATTCAGAGGAAAGCCTTGAAGGGCAGTGAGAGAGGAGACACATAGGAATAGTTAGAAAGTGGAACAGGAGCACATAGTCACAGATCTATTGCATAAATCCTTCACAGCAATGCTTCGGACATCAGTATGCATAAAAAACATTTGCAGGCCCTCATTCCTACAAAGCAGCTGCTGCTTTATGCACATCTTTTCGGCTTGCCTAGCCTAAGGACAGACTCACTAGCCAGATCTTTGTTGCCCTCAAGGGCTAATTCCTGCAGCCTAAATAATTTCCCTGATGCCAAAAATCACAGGGTGAGCAGAAACAGTAAAACCTGAGCAATGTGCACAGATGGCCCTTGCTCACTTCCACTGCTTCTGCCAGCTGCTCTTAGGTGTGGAAAAGCTTCAGTAGGCAGACTCAAGTGACATTAAGTAATTTTACTCTCTTTCAAAAACTCAATTTAGAGTCAAAACCTGTGAGATACCCCATGATACTTCATGCTACATGCAAAATAATGGGGAAGCTTAAACAGCTTCTGCCTCAGGCAGCTCCCAGTTTATGTCAGAACACAACAGAAAGCCTGAGAGGGAAAGGTAAGGTGGCAGTGGTGAAAGCAGCCAAGATTGTGTGGTGATTGCTGTGTGGGAGGTTGCAGCCAGGACTCTCAAATGACTCAAACCACTGTGGTATGGTTTTGGTTTTATTTCTTGTTTTCTCACATTTGGAGGGAGAAGAGGGTGTGTCTAGAAGTTCAGATGCTGGCTTGGAACTTGGGTGATCTAAATCCAGGTTTCTGCTTTGCCACTGACTCCCTTGTGTAAGTTAGTCCCATGCTTCTGCCTTTTGCCCCTCATTCTCCAAGGAAGAATGTGCATCCATACCCCTGAGGTCTGTGAAATTAATACATGTGAGGAATTCAGCTACAGTATGAGAGAGAGTCATATCAGGCCCTGAAGTGGTTTGGTCTGCATTACCTTTTTACCATAGGCGATGGACAACAAAGGGCATCCTTCAGAGCACTCTGTGTAGCTGACTTTCAAATGCAAAGCAGTGTGTGACCTGAGCTGCACAGAGAACTGAAATTGTGCTGTAAGTCTCTCTAATTAATTCTACAGAATTCTTTTTCTTAATTCTGCTTAATTTCATACCTGTCACATTTCTTACTTAAACATGGAAACTATTCATATCTTTATTTATAGAATTCTTTTTTGTTTGCTAGTAACCACTTGTTTGTCTTGCCTAGTTCCATTTCATCTGATACAGTTCTTACTCCCTTCCTCCTCCTCCTCCTCATCCATGGGCTCGGGGATCACAAAAGCACCTATCTGGAGCCTGGAAGCTGCTTGCTCCTTACCCAGCACCCCTAAAGTGGCCTGAGTAGAGAAAAGAGGCCATTCTGGGGGGAAAAGCTGACTGTGGGTCCTTCCCCTGAGGATTACACTGTGTACATCAGTACTGTAGTTAACAAATCTTGTCAGAGGTAGTGGTTTCTGCAAGTCATGTACAGCAGATCTCATTTAAGCAGCAGTGAAATTTGTGATGTTTTTGTTTGACATCTGCAACCTCAGTGGAAAGAAAGTGTGCCTCTTGCCTTGTGTTTGCAGCTGAAGCTTTATTAAGGACAGAAAAGAAGATGCACCTCTATATTTTAATCTTCTGCATGCACAAACAGTGTGTTTTCAGTGTAAATGGAGAGCTGTAAGGCTCTGTGGGAGTGATTTCCTTCTAGGAATTTATTTCATGTGGCTGTGAGTAGCTCAGCAAGATAGGATGGAAAAAGAAAAGGCCTAAATCTCTAGGTAGCTGAAAGAGTGAAAGCACCCAGTGAACGAATCCTCACATGAAATCTCCTGTTTCTCCAAAAGAAAGGAAACCTTTCCCAGGGATCTGATACCTACTTACAGTGTTTCATGTTTTGTGTTCTAGAGAACAGCCAAATTTCACTAGAAAGTATCACCTGCCCAGTCATAAATCAAAACAAATAAATATTCTTGGGGTTTGCATTTTGCCTGCTCAGTGTCAGTTTTCCTGCGCCCATCATGAGTCTTCTAATAAATTCTCCATAAACATGGAGGCCAGGGAGGCAGCTCCCAGACCCCATCACCTCCACAGTGGCTGACAAAACACAAAAGATCTCAGACAGCCAATGACCCCACATCCCAACAGGTTGGCACTCCATTTTTGACCTTGCTAGTTCTGAGTGCAGGGCTTCCTGCTTGATCTTGTCTTTCAAGGAGGGACTGTGTCCAGTTCCCTTTCAGAAAGGGCAGTTTTTTAAATTGTCCTTGTTTGAAAGAAAAGACTGTGTTGGGCAGCAGTGAAAACAGAGAGCTGAATGCAGTCTGGTGTGTGCTGTGCTGATGTGATGAGGCTGGGCCATGAGTCCAGCAAGTTTTGCTCATTTCTACACTGTGTGGTGGTAAGCTGCTCTGTACAATATTTTTCCTTTACCCTGGAGCTTCCCCCCAGGACCCTGCCAGTAACTTGGTCGTGCTTTGATAAACCATTGTGCAGACATGACATGAAACTGTAGTCCTAATGACCTGTGTTATTTAAAAATCAAATGGCACTTTCTCAAGAGAAAGTTCTTTAGTTCCAGTGTTTTCCTAAGATAACTTACACCAAGGCAGCATATTATCCTCCCCTGTAGTTTCATGTATTGCTCACTTTGTCTGAACTCCTGCCTGCCATTGCACTGCATTATTTTGTCATGTGCCACCCCATCATTTCAAACTAGCTTCCCTGTTTGTTTAAAAGTACAGCAAAAGCTTTAAAGACTTGAGGAAAGTGATGCCATACACTTTGTGTAATGATGTACAGCCTGCCAGTTCAATTTCACTGCCTTGTAGCACCAAATTATGAAACTCTTTGCCTCTTCATCTCCCCTGTCTTCTGAGCTAGCAAGAGATAAACAGGAAAAAGGGGAGACACCTTCTGTTTGATATTGTCTGACTCTCAAGTCAGTTCGAGCTCTGATATTAATAACTTCCTGTTTTGCTGTAAGTCTTCTGATATGTGAAAAGCCTCCGTGCACGTTGACTTTTCGTCCTGAACCTAGGCAACTACATGACTAGTGCATTCCCAGCCCCTGGGCTACAAATTCCAGTTTGATGCTTACCTCCAGGCCAGAATTTTAGAGTTGGAATTCAAATCACTGAAAATTTAGATTCCTAAATGTACAGTTAGTTGCCAAAAGACAAACAACCTGACTTGTTGACCCTATAAGTGTCGTGGGACTTGAGAGGGCAGAATCTATACAAATCAGACTTTACTTTATTTAGGAACTCAGATAAGGATCCTAATTTGAAATGTTGGGCTGTTGTTCATTGCTCAGGATGTGCTCAGAAGCTAGAAACAGAAAAGAGGATCTGCAAAATAATGCAGAGAAAGGTGCATTTGTGTAATATCACTTGTGCAAGATACTTGTGAAATGTAGGATATGCTGCATTGCATATTTTTTCACACATGCTTAAAATAGTAAGGCCTTTTCCGACTACCTGTAGCAGGTTGACCTTGGCTGGGCGTCAGGTGCCCACGAAGCCAATGGGACAGGGGAGACAATAAGATGGAGAGCAACCAGTGGGTGAGATAAGGCAGTTTTATTACAGTGAAAGAAAATAAATAAGTGAGAATCTGTGTGTGCATAAGTGAAGGGAAAAGTTAGTCTCTACTTCCCATCAGCAGGCGATGTCGGACACTTGCAGGAAGCAGTGCTTCAGCAAGCGTAATTGTTCCCTTCTATCAGTCCACGGGCCAGTTTGCTAGGGGTGTTTGCCTGTTCAGGAGTAAAGTCCCAGGCAATGGGAGATAATTTAGACGATTTAGAACCGCCCTAGGACCTGCCCAGATCCCTCCACACACCCTTCCGCCCAGGAACTAGATGCCTCAGGGCAGATTTTAATAGCTCCTCACCTAAAGGTTTTTTCTGTTGCACCAGGATAACGACAAATTCCATGAATTCCATAGAATAATAGCAGTATTGGCTAATAATATTAACAGTATCAGACAGCTTATATAAGGATTGGCAACGACCGTGCAAGTCTGCAGTAAAAAAATTGTCCACATTCAACATCCAATCTTAGAACAACAAAAACAACTAAACTAAACAGAAGGAAAAGAAAAAAGTTCCCCACACCAGATCCAAAAATAAGATCATCACAACACATAACAAAAACAGACAAACTACACAAAATCCACGCCTAAACCCTTCAATACAATTAGAGTGCAAATTCCCCACTATCATTCCACTTGATAACATGGTTTAATAATTGTTTTGCCTGATATTTCTCCCAATTAATATCTTTATCTCAAAGTCCTTGTCAGTGTCTGCATTCTCCACCAAGAACTGTCATGGTTTGACAGTGCCCAAATGCCAGGCACCCACAAAAGCTGCTCACTCATCCTCCCCTGCCACAGCTGGGCAGAAGAGAGACTAATGAAGGCTTCATGACTTGAGATAAGGACCAGGAGAAAACACTCCAAGGGCAAAACAGACTCAGCTTGGAAGTGCAAAGTAAATTTATTATTAACAAAGTCAAAGGAGGATAATGAGAAGTAAAATAAGCCCTTAAAATACTTTTCCTTCCCCCAAGCTCCTCCCTCCTTCACAGTGCAAGGAGACACAGCATGGGGGTTTGATCAGGTCACCACCTGAGATTTTCTTACACTGCTCAGGGAGAGGAGTCCTTTCCCTCCTATGCCATGGGGTCCCTTCCCATGGGAGACAGTTCTCCACTAACTTCTCCAGTGTGTTTCCAATCTCATGAGCAGCAGTTCTCCCAAAACTTCTGCACCGTGAGTCCCTCCCACAGGCACACAGTCCTCTCAAAACTGTTCCAGCATGGGTCACTCTCCCATGGGGTGCACTCCTCCAAGGACAGGCTGCTCCAGCCTGGAAGCAAGGCCACCTCCTTCCACTGGTCTCCCACTGGATCACAGCCTCCTCCAGTCATCCACCCACTCCAGCATGGGCACCTACCCCACAGGCTGCAGGTGGATCTCTGCATCCCCTGTGGATCCCCATGGGCTACAGAGGAAAGCTGCCTCACCATGCCTTCCCTACTGCCCCTCCTTCTCCACTGACCGTGGTGTCTCCACGTTGTTTCCCTCACATGTTCTCACCTCCTCCTCTTCTCTAGCTGGAATTAACACTGCGCACACACCTCACTTTGGTTTGATATTCTTCTTAAATCTGTTATCACAGAGGCATTACCAACCTTCCTAATTGACCCAGGCTTGGCCAGCAGCATGTCCATCTTCAGAGCCATCAGTCATTGGCTCTGCTGGACATGGTGGAAGCTTTCAGCAGCTTCTCACAGAAGCCCCCTCTGTGGCTCCCCTGCTACCAAAAACCAGGCCATGGAACACTGACACACTACAAGTTATCCAAATAACTTTCCCTGTAAATTGAACTATTTCCTGTGGATTATACGTTGTTTTGCTACCTGCTGCAGAGGTAGAGTCCCCCTGAATGCCTAATGCCTGTGTACTGCTGCTCTGCATGACTGGGAACAGTCTCCTGATCACAGTGTGAGACAGGAAAGCTTGGACTTAGCAGTTCTGTGAGATTTACAAATCATAACAGCTAATCAAGATTTAAAACAGCTCTGGAGTGAAAAGGCTAGCAAGTGGTCCAGCTGTGAGCTAATTCATTAGTTGCAGTAAATATCACTGGAAGAGCTTGTCAAAAGCAGCTGAAAAGAATCATCCTTAAAGTGAATGTCAGAGGCTTTTGCAGCTGTCATCCAGTGGACTGGAGACTCTGGGCATTGGAGAGAAAATGAGGGTGAAAGACATAAAAATTTGAGTACAGAGGATAAAGTACCAGTTCCCACTGAGTGATTATAAAGGAAGCAATCTCACCACTACAGGGACCTAATTAGAGACTGAATCTCACAGCACTCTGAGAAACCCAAACCAGTGAATGCAGCCCACTCAGAGCAGCAGCAGGAGGAGGCTCTGCTGCCTCAGCGGCACGAAGGAATATCATGTTTGCGTAGCTGGGGCCATTTCCAGTGTTCTTGTGTCCTGCTCAGTGATCACTTAGGTCCAGAGGAGCCACATAATTTTCTTGCCTGCCAGCACAGCATTGTCCTGGTCCTACAGGAAGGGCTGTGCCTACAGGAGCCCTGCTCTGGGGTGGGTGAGCACCTGGGTCAGCAAGAAGGAATTATTGTACCGGTATTGCCATTAAAGGTGCTTTTAATATAACCCTGTGGAGGTTCGGGGAGGATGTCTTCCATGGTCACTACTCCTAGCAGTAACGTTTTTCTCCAGCAGGATTTTCCAGGCATAGACAACTCAGGCAGCTCAGGGAAGAGAAGGGATAACTGCTCAGGATGCACAGATGTATTGTGTTTGGGGGGTAGTGGTTTATGGGTCTCCTCTGAAGCTAGGAGGAGGTAGGTGACCTGCCCAGAGAGATCTCAGCTGACATCTGACAAGGACATTTTCATAGCCAAGATAAACTGATGCCTTTTGTTTTGTTCTAGGGAAAGCAAACTACTAGCCTAAGACCACGCTAGCCTGTATCTTTACCATATGAAACAAGCCCAAACCATTTGAGGTTGTTATTTATTTGCATCAATATGAAACATTTCTGGCATTTGTTTTCCATTTTTGGCCATCACATGCTGCTGTTTTCACGTTTCAGATCTCCTCTCCTGTAATATTTTAAATCCTAATTTGACTGATGCTGCAGGTGGAGAGTATTAGTTACCTTCAATGACCACTCTGGCCGTAATGACTTGTTTGCTTGACAAGCTGGTGGCTTTGTCAAGGTGAACATTAAGTCTATCTGGAGTATCTCTGTGTGTCTTTTGCAACATTGCTCTTGCAAGCTGGCTTGCAACTGGGCATGCAGTTTCTCCAGACACAGAATACCTTTGAGGGAATATTTTCCCTGCCACTTTCCTCCTGAGAGTGATGTTGCTGCAGTTTATACCAATAAGATTTAGATGGCTGTATCTCTGAATTTGATGTGGATAGCAAGCAAACCCAACTGATGAAATTCCATTGATAAAGAGAATTCTCATCTTAGCAACTACCCAGAAAAGTCCAGAAGTAGAGGTTAGGAGTTAATAACAACTGCACCAAGTCTGCCAAAGCTGCTGGGGGTGTGACAAACAGACACCCCTGTGGAGCCAAAGAATCCCTGCAGTGCCTGCTCCCTGCTGCCCTTCATCAGCAGATTTGGAAGAGCAGCATCTCAAGAGGGCAATGGGGCTGATGGGCTCCCCAAAGTGCCAGTTACAGGCAGTAGGGATCAGTCAGGAGCCTTTGTGACAGCTTTGCTAAACATGGCTTAACACTGCGTAGACTCATTAAAGTAGGAAAGAAATTTCCTATCAGTTGTCACTGGGGTAGGTGTCTCAGATGGCCACTGACATGGGAGTCCATAGCCCCACTTCACAGAGCCAGTGCACAGTGCAGGATCCAGGTGCTTGCCAAAGTGGCTGTAGGCAGAACTAAATTTTGCCATGAACCCAGGCCTCCAGGGACCTTTAAGCAGTCATATCCTGCATGATCCCTAAAAGATGCCAGACAGAACGGCAGCAGGGAAGCTGTAGCATAAGTAGCACCTTCAGATTGTCCATTGGATATAGCTGAGACACAGCAATAGCAAAACTCAAGTAAATGAAATGCATTTCTTAGCTGTTCCTGAGAGTGAATAGGTTGTGCTATTTGTGAGCTGCAAGCCATGTCAAGTGAACTGGGTATTCCACAGAGAAATTGCTGCCTCTGGCCCCAAAATATCATTGTAAGAAGGTACAAAAAACATTTAAGAGAAATTTCTTAAATCTTTCTAGATGGTACATTATGAGCAACTGGCAGTCAGACCACTATAGATATTAAGAATTCAGGAAACATTACTAAGCAACACAAAGAACAGAAAACAGTGTGTATTTTCTGAGAAAACTGGGGAAAAGGTCCTGTGCCAGTGAATGCTTTGGGAGTATAAGTCCTAATAGCTACAGTAGCCAAATGTTCACGTGGGACCAGTGTGTGAACAATTATTTTATAATATTATTGGCAAATGTCTCAACATCTTGAGGTAATTGCAGAATAGGAAAGAAAAAGTTAGCCAATGTTTTCTGGTGGTACAGGAATATTAATTTCTCTAACCCCCTGTGGTGGTATCTGACCACCTTGGATACCTGAGGGGGCAGGTCAAAGGAAAACAATATGTAGATGTGGTTTTCAAAGGCACCAGTTTTCAGTGAGTGTGAACCTCGTTCACTGCTAGGAATAAATTTCTTCCTGGCATATTGTGAAAGAAATAGTCAAATAAACAAAAGCATGGTATACTTTGTAAGGTAAGGCAAGCATTTGTAAGAGGTACCTTTGTAAGATGAACCTCAGGGCTACACTGCCCACAGGCAAACCAGCTCTGGGTGCCAGCTGAGCACTGAGGGCAAATGCTGGGCTGCTCTTTTCCCGAGCAGATGCTGTACCAGGGCTTCTCTCCTCATAGCAGGAAGGAGAAAAAGCAGCTTTTACCATCCAAGTGCATGACATTCCTGCTCCTCCTGGGTGGAAAAGAAAGGGAGCTCTTCTTCCCCTCTGCCTGTGAGGGAAGCAGTGACTGCGGGTGTGAGGGGCAGGAAGCTGTCTCAGGGCAGACCTTGTTCTCGCAGGGACCTGCACCCCAGCCATTCCTGCCCTAGACGCGTGTGCTGGGGTGCCCTGGCCTGCCCCTCCCAGGCTCCCCCTCCACCCTGTAGCTCCGAGCTCTGCACTTGCTGTCCTTGGAAAGGCAGGGGTGCGGAGCAGGCTCCCAGCAGCTCCAGAGGAGCAAATGGTCTCCATCGTGGCTACCTCCTTGTAGGAGATGAAGAAGGCATTTCTGCCTAAGGGCTGCAGGCAGGAGCAGTCACCAGCCTCCCTCTGCAGCCGGCAGCATTCGGCTTTTTCTCGTTGTTTATTATCTGACGTCTGTTTTCGTGTTTCCCTGCAGGCTGGGAGCCAGGAGGGCTGGCGCTCGGGACACCTCCTCCCGGTGTGCTGCCAAGGACGGTGGCAGTGTCCGGTGTCCTCCCGCCCAGGGCGGCGGCCCCGGGCACACGGCATCCGTCCCTGCTGCTCGCCCGAGCCCCTCGGGACCTGCTTCTGCCGGGAGAGGCAAGGTAACCTCGCCACTGAAAATAGCTGGGACGGCGGCCAGCCGAGATTAATGGCTTCATTAACGTCCCCAGTTTATTTATAGGCTTAAAAATGCCTTGGACCTGCAAACTGAGCATAGTTGCTCCGTGTAAGGCAGGGAAGCACAGGTCTCCTGCTTCTGCCTTTCCCTTTCCTGCTATTTCATTCTGATTGCTGGGTCTGTAAAACCTCTGAAGCAAGCACTGTTTCTCATTGTGAAGCTACTTTGTAAACCTTCCTAACTGAAAGGACACACACAGATACTCTTTTTCTATTTTTTTTTTCAAGAATGCTGTATTTGTCTGGTTTCCTTCCTCTACCGACTTTTTCTGTGCACACTGTGTCCTGTGGCCCTCTTAGAGAAAATTCTCTTTTTGATGAATTCCTGAGGCAAAGGCTGAGCAGCCATCACAGGAATTAGTGACTTCCCACCTTGGGTTTTAAACTGTGAGCTCTGTGGGAGGAAGACTGAGATTTTCATACCTGTGGAGAGCATGGAGGGCACTTAGGACATGTAGGGCCCTGGTGAGAAATGCAGTTGCAATTAATGATTGTGGAGGTCTTCCAACAAAAGCCAGCACGCCCAGTGTCCAGTCCTCCAGGAGCCTTGTGGAACTGGTGAGAAAAGGAAAAAACACCCCAAGTGTGTTTGCCCCAGAAGAAGAGTTTTTGGCTCATGACCTGTGGCCATAGTGCTTGGCCTGTTTCCCAGCACATGCTGAAAGGTAAGTGAGAAAGGAAACTTGTCAGCAAGCACAAATCCAAGGGATAGGCTGTGTGACTGGGAGATAGATGGCTCCATGAGTAGGAGAAAAAAGCAAAAATGCCAATCCTCATACCCAAAAGCATGGATCACCAGTGTGGCAGCTCATGCAAGTGAGGTTATTTCAGAGAGCAACCACGCTTCACTTCACTGTTGCTTTTTTGTTGTATCAATCTGAAATAAACCCCTGTGTCAGTCTCCCCTTGGCCCTCATCTTCTAGGGATGAAATAAAGAGCCAGCAGAGAACCACTCAAACATCCTTTGTCTTAATTTTCCCTGAAATTTTCCCTGAAAATTTTCCCTGAAAATTCCTGAAGTGAGAATACTTCAGAGCAAAGTGAAGGAGCCCAAAATGGTAGAAGGAGGGTTTCTTTGCCACTACAGGTGAAGCCACAACCCTGGGATGCCCTCACCCTGCCAGCAACTGGTGGTTTTGTGGCATCTTCGAGCCTTGCTTTCCCCTTCCTCTCTTTCCCGCTTGGATTCTTGGCTCCAGATCTCCTCCATCCTATCTTGGCCAGGCCCAAGCTCTCCTGGGATGGGGCTGTGATGAGGATGGGAATGCTTGCTCAAATCTCACTTTCCACATCTGTTAAATGGGACCATGAACTTTATATGGAAGTGTTCCAGGCAAGGTTGGATGGAGCTTCAAGCAATCTGGTCTAGTGGAAAGTGTCCCTGCTTATGGCAGGAGAGTTGGAACTGGATGGTCTTTAAATCTCCTCCCATCCCAAACCATTCTGTGATTTTCTGCACTCCATTGAAGGGCAAAAGCAGACATGCAATTCTTCAGCCATCCAAAGATCATAACTGGGAGACTATTTCTATGCCTGATATACATGAGATCCTGTGTAATTTTAAAGGCTTCAAGGAAAAGACAAGTCATATGCAGCACCTGAGGCAAAGGCAGGAAGAGGGAAAAGAGTTGTGTTTAACTATATTCTATTTATTCTAGGAAAGAGACACATTTTATATAGTTGTGTCTCACCTAAATTCCTCAACATCTGACCAGAAAAATCACTGCAACTTTCTTACTAGACAGATGTCGGACTAGGGGAGTGAGTCTTGTGACTCTGCATCTCAAACTGATTACCTGCTTTGAAAAGTGAATATAAAAAGCAGAGGGTTTTTTTTTTTTTTTTTTTTTGTTTGGTTTGGTTTGTTTTTTGGTGTTTTTTTTTTAACAAGATGGCTAAACTTCATCTCAGCTCTGGGACACCTATCCCTGAATACTGGTGCTGCCCAGCTTCTGTGGCATTACTCACCCCTGATACAGAAAGCAAGAGCTGGATTTTTTTTTTTCCTGTTTCACTGGGCTACACCCAGTTGTAACCATATTTAACCTTCCCTTTCTAGCTGCCAACACTGGGTGGCACTAACTAACTCCTTCTGACATTTTACAAAATTGACTCCAAAACCTTGAATCACACTGATTTGGCTCCACTCTGTCTTGACAGCAAATGGTTTTGTTTGAGAGACTTTGGATCATATGGTTATTGCATAGAAACATCTGACTTGCATGGCATGTTTTGTACTTCCCTGGTTTGTTAGGTTGTTAAAACTCTCATGAAACTCTGGCCTTACAGCCTGGTAAAGGTTCAGTGTGCTGTTGGACTTGAAAGCCAAATTTCCTGTACTGAGTTGAGAATTTATGGAATACTTGAATATATATACCTGAATATCCAATCTGTGATTTATGTCAGAGGTTTAAATAAGTCTCACTGAAAGGCTGAGGTTGAAAGGCACCTCTGGAGATCACCTAGGCCAAGTCCTCTACTTGAGCAAGGTCAGCCAAAGCAGGGTTAACCAGGTGGTCCCCAAAGGGTTCCAGGTGCCTGCTGCCAGCCCCAGAGTTTCCTTGTCAGTCTCTAACCAGAGCTTGGACACTGCCATGTCTGCTGGCCACCACTGCCAGCTACACTCCGTAAAAGTCCTACTAAAATAAATCAGCTTTAAAAGAAGCACCCCCAGAAACATGTGGCTGCCCAATCGGCTGTGCTCACCCTACAAGTGCCCCAGCCACCCTTTAACCAGGCTGTTATGGCTCCAGTGGGTTCTGGGAGATGCTGGTGCGAATGGTGATGGAGGTGGCAAAAATTCAGGGCCAAGTGGTTTGTCCTCAGAGGACACCCCAGGTCTATGAGCAGCCTGATCTAGCGGCTGGCATCTGTGCCCATGATGGGGGTTGGAACCAAATGATCTTTAAGATCCCTTCCAACTCAAGCCATTCTATGATGCTGTGACGTGTGGCCATTCTACACCACCTGTGGAGCCCCATTGCCATGTCCTGGTAACAAACATTCCCATTGTTGTGCGTGTACCTGTCCCTAAGAAGGTGTTTACATTCTAACAGATAGCAGATGGCATAACCTGATGGGCTCATTAAGATGTGTGTCCTGAAAGGAGGACATAGAAACACCAATGATAGTAGCTAAAAAATCCTCAATACAGAAATTAAGTGAGCAAGTCTTGACAGACTTGCCATGGCCATTCTGACAGCAGTGGGAGAGGTGCAGCTGAGGAAGAAGCTGCCCAGAGTGAGAGATGGTAACTGCTGAAGGTCCTTAATGTCTCCAAGCAGAAGAGCAGGCAGAGGGTGAGACCATTTGGTGGCTATATTAGAGCCAGGGCAGCAAGGATCACACATGAAACAGTATCTGCAGTATCCCTTCCCTCTCCTGTGGCAGTGGGAAAGGGGTACAAGTAGAGGCAATGATGTCTGAAGTACAGCTTACTCACCGAAAAGCACCATTTCTGGTTGACTGAAGCTATCTGCCAATTGGTGTGCAACCATTCATCAAAATTAGCCCCAAAAATTAGAAACATAAAAATGGCTTGCTTTGTTGGTTTGAGGTTCTTTTTATTTTTTTTTTAAGCTGATCTCAAAAGGAAACCTCAGCTGGAGCGAGGATTTACCCGACATGCTGTGTCTTCAGAGCGTGGCCAAACCACAGGACAGCCTGCAACGGGGCTCTCCTAATCCTCTTGCTCAGGGTAGAATTATTTATACTGTTTATTGGACCAGATGGAGCAGGAATACCAGCAGGACTAAACTGCCTGCCCCAAAGAACAGGCCTGGGATCTGGTAGGTAGTGGACAAGAGCAGTTGTTTCAGAGCAGCCAACAAAGAAGAGGCTGAATTTGACAGAATAGCATGGCACTTGACTCCAGCTTAGCTTGGCCCTGTGTGTTGTGCCTATGGGCCTAAGAGCAAACAAGTATTTTTGTAAGTTTGGTGGTTTTTTTATCCCAGCATAAAATGCCCAGGAAGATGATGCTATAGCTCACCAGTGCTGAATTCCATAGGATGTGTAGCATGGCCTGGACTGAGGCATGAGAGCATCCAGGAGAGCTGGAGGATGGAAAGTCTGGTGGGACCATGCTGTAGGAACATCCTGAGGGAAATGAGACAGAGCTTGTTCATGTGGCTCTTGCAAATTGTCCCAGGAGTATCCATGCTCAGAGCAGCACTGCTTGGTGGCCAGAGGTCAGAGGTCTCTGGCTTGGTGGCCAGAGCTTGTTCAGAGGACAGCATAGGTGTGTGCTGACCAACACCACGGGAACAATCAAGGATGAGGACCCATAGTCAACTGGGGAGTTGTTTCTGACATTGTAGGCACATGTGACAGGCATAGCTACATCACCAGCAAAGAAGAGTTGGACTCCAGCCCTGGATTTGTGCTCATTGTCTGCTGGGCTCTCTGCTAACTCTGAAGCTTTGGTTTGGATCACTCCAAGTTTGGATCACTTTTATCACACAAGATAAATGTTCTCCTTGGGAAATAAGCTCTAGGTACAGTGCCTGTGAGCCCGGGGGTGCCACTCTCTTTGCCCTGGTCTTTTGCTGAGCAGTGTAGACACAGCCAGTCTCCTGCCTCTCTGTGCTCCATCTCCATGTGCCTCTGGTGCTGCCTGGCACACTGGGTGTGATATTGCTTCCAGGAAAGCTTTTTTGAAATATTTTCCATATGAGAAACAGAAGGGATTTGAACTTGCATCCTGAGTGCTCTGAAGCTGTGTTGTAGGCAGTGGATTGCAGTGGGTGATAGCTTCTCTTCATAGGCCTTGTGGCTGAGGACAAAGTTTTCTGGGAATCTCCCTTTCCATTCCTATGAGGGTTTTGGGGTTAACCTGTATCATGCTGTTTTAGCTTTTAGTTTGAATGCCAGACAGAAAATCAACTATTAGAAGATCTGCCTAGTCAAATAGACAAAGGCCCCAAGAGGCAGAAGCTCGTTGGAAAGAGGTCTTGGCTTTGCAGAGATCATGAGGATTTGGGCAGAATTCAGGCAGAGGATAAACCCCACTATCCAAGAGGATAACCTGAGGAAAGGGAGTTGCACAGGATTTTTCCACTGCTGTAGGAACCTTTACTGCAATTCAGCTCGTGTTGATTAACTCTGGATGCTGGATTCTTAAAAAGTGATTAGTGAGATCACCCTGGAAATAGAAACAGATGTGCCATCTGTTACGCAGCGTATGGGAGGGAGATTTTGCTGAAGCACTGAAAGAAAGGAGGAGATCCCAACACTGAAATGAGACTTCACTCCTGTCACTTTCTGGTTTACCTCCCCAGAAGCTAAACACCCCTGTGAACATATGAGGTGAACTGGTGGGATTCGCTGCTAGTGGACTGGAGCTGTAGCTCTGGCTACTGACTGGGCTGAGAGATGAGCTATGGTCGCATCTCAGCCTTCAGGGGAAGACATGGTATAGGGCTTGGTGTCAGAGACACTCTCCAAGCACCTGGAATCCCAAAGCAGGAAGTCTGGGCTTCAGTCTGAGCTTGTGCTGGTGCTGCCTCAGAGCATCTTTCCCCTCAGTGAAATGTAAACTAGAGGTGGGATTTTTTCAGCCCTTCTGTGGAGTTGTCCCTGTGCTGTATCCCTGCCTCAAAGTGCTCTCCCTTCATCCAGTAGTGACTCACTGCAGGTCCCGAGGATTATCAGAAGCACTAAGCAGCTCTGAGACAGCAATTGGAATTATGCTTCTACAGCTGTGATTGTCCACAGCCATGCTCTCTGTCTTCCTCCAGAGCAGCGGAGGATTTTAAGGAATGGTGCAAGGCTGAAGAAGGCAATACATCCATATGTGCTTTCCTAAATCTAATCTGGCATCCTTCTGGCTGCCATAACCTCTGGAGAGCAAAGCACACATTTGTGCTGTTCATAGCACTGCTGCCTGATATCCAGTATCTGCTCTAATAGGGGAAACATTGCAGCACCTGGGGAAAACGGGAGCGGGTTCCCTTTGATCTGCAGGGCACCTCTCTGAGCACAGCTGCACAGCCAGGTAAAAAACTGTCAGGATTCTTGTTTTCTGCTTCCTTTTTCTCTGACTAAATCTCAAGTCTCATACTCAAAAACAGCCTCTGGCAGGCCTCCATGTAAAAATATAACAATATCACTACTATTTATTATTAATACATGCTATTTATTATTCATATTCAGGAGCAGAGAAGGGCCACTGCTTTATGACCATGCAATAAAACAGGTTGCTGCTCCCCATGTGCTTTGAAGCCCAGGACATGATCCAGTGAAGGTAGAAAATAGGACTACAGGCACATAACAGGGATTGCTACAGTGAATCCCTTTACAAAGACCAGACCTAAATACACAACACACCTACAAAGCACAGGTACAGCTCCACAGTGGAAAAGGAGCCCAGCATCCAGCTGCCTCCCTCAAGCAGAGGTGTTGCAAGCGAGGCTGAGCACTGCTTCACTAATACCTTTGGGGATCTGCTGAATGTGGACCCTGCTGGCATTGCGCTGGTTTTATCTGGGTAAAGCCAGATAAAACAAATGATTTAACTGCCCTCCTGTTGCTCCTCTTGCCCCACCTCTACCCACATATTACTTGCCCTTATCTCTGGAGCCTCCACTGGGACCAAGGTGGGCAGGTGATATGCCACAAGGAGGCAGGTGACCAGATGGGTTCAGCATGCAGTTGTTCTTTACATTTCCAGAATGTCATCTCAACCTGCTCCAACACCCACAGCTCCAGCATTTCATGGCTATTCCCATGGCTTGTTCCCCAGGATGCTAGGAGGAGCTCAGTTTGGAATTCAGGAGAGTAGAGGGGACAGCCTGGAGAGGATAACTCACCTTCTGGAGGGCAGGGCACATCTAGGGGCAGGTAGAAACTTCAAGAGCTAAGCCACCATCTCCTCCCAACACCACCTGTATGGTGAGGAACCTGAGTAGACCCCACCAGCTCCATTCACTCTAACAGGGATTTGGGGACACAAAAATGTGTGGTGAGCAAGAAGGGCTTAGGTTTGCTCTCTGGTTCCCTATAGAGGCATTTTGGCACCTCACAGAGGAGTTAGGGGACAGACAAGCACAGCACAGGGGGAAAGCAGGATGCTGTTGAAGCCTGTGGAGCCAGCAACCCCACCAACATCTCTTTTTCCCCCTAGCAGTGGCAGCAATCCTCTGCCTCCCATCCCAATGGAGCTGCCCCCCAGCAAGCCCAGCTGTCCTCAAGGATGCCACAGCTCTTCCAGGCTCTCGCTTGTTCACGCAGCGCTGATCCAAAAAAGGTGTTGGCAGAAGATGTTACAGACCTTTCAAAATCCCTCTTCATACTCCAGCACTTCCTCTTCTCCATCCTCAGACAAGAATCACACAGGTCTGGACCTCATTCCCCAGCCCTGGAGCCCCAGCAAACAGAAGCTGGTGCCCAGCAGCAAGTCCTCCCAATTACTCCTTTGGAAAACATTTTCACCAAAGAGTTGATTAACACTACAAAGTGCCCTCTCTGAGCACTGTGTACCACGCACAGGGATCACACACCCACTGCCCAGGGAGAAGATGGGGTCCATACTCCTCCTGGAAGCCCTAATTGTTGAGGGGAGAAGGGATGTTATCAGGAAGGGCAATGGTTATCCTCAGAAAAAAAGTCACATAATATAAATTTTTGTCCCTCTAAATTTCTCATATGAAAGCCATTAAAAAAAAAAAAAAAAACAAAAAACCAAAACATTGTTACTCTCTATTTCCATGGGGCTTTCATCAGAAAAATGAAAAGCATGTTTAAAAAATAGGAAGAAGGATGTGGGGAACCTTACCACAGGGGTCTGAAATCTCTGAGCGCACCTGCCTGGCTGTGCTGGGCCCTGTGCCCTGGAGCTCAGCCATGCTCAGGGGACAAGGCAGTGCACCCACAGGGGGGTCTTCTCCAGTCAGCATTCACACAGCTGGAGCCAGGACACAGGAGGAAGTGCTGGTGGTCCTGAATGCTTTGTTTGAGCAGCTGAAAGGAGAGATGTTTTCTCCCCCGGTTTATTGGAAAAGCAGAGTAGTGTGGCTACCAACACAGTGACGATCCCCACTCAGTGATGAGGGTCTGCACTCAAGGGTGTGCTGGAGCTCTGACATGGCAGCCCAGCCTCCTCTGGGACAGAAACCACTCAGTGCTGGACTTACAAACACCTACAACAATCCTCACACTGCCCCTTGGGCCTGCCCGCCCTAATAACTCAGTAATAACTCCCCCCTCCACACACCCAAGCATAACCACACATTTTTCCCAAGTGTTTAGCAAATGTAACCTCTGTGTTTTATACCTTTCACTCATTGATCAAGCTGATGTGTTTCTCTTTTGGACAAAGAGTCATTACATCTGAAAGTTTATGGCTTGGCTTTGAAGTTAATGTTCTCTGAGATGAAGGAGAAAGTTCACACTTCTTCTATTGCTTCCAGCCCTTCTGGCTGCAGACCAGATAAGAGAGTGATGCCTTCAATTTACAAGTGATGACTATTTTTTCAGGCAGAAAAGCTGAAAGACTTATTAATGTAATAATGGCTTGAATATGCTATAGTGCTCAGCAAAATGCTAGAAAAGGAGGGAAGTGAGTCCATGAAATCTATGGACACCTCAGACTGTCTATTTCTCTATTTATGGTCTCATTTTCATCTGAGGCTGTTTACCTTCCTCCACTTCTTTGCTGTTGCAGCCACTCTTGACTCTGTTTGTCCACAAGCTGTCATTTTCTGCCAGCAACTTTCCTCTGTGGAAGAACAGCCTTCACAGCCAAAAAGTTTTCTCCTGCTTAACAGTAAGAGGTCTCTCCCTCTAATTCTTCTTGAATAGGTAGAGAAAATGCAGTTTTATGGGACACTCCATTAACAGCCAAGGCTGAGTGTTTAAGTTGGAGGGTGTTAAGACATCCAGTTCCTTCACACTTACTTGGAAATTGCAGCCTTGGTGTGACCCTTTCAAGCCTCCTACTTCTCCTCCTTCCTAATGCAGCATCAGCTCCTCCAGCCTTCACTGGGAGAAAGATTTTAGAAACTTTTAGGAGTAACTGGCACAGAATGCTTGGAGCCTGACTGTCACTACCTGAAAGCTCCAGGGAGAGTAAGCAAGGCTGAAGGGACTTTGGAGAGGGATTTGATTTTCCAGAGATCCATCAAGCCAGTTTTGGGAAGTCTCTAAAGATGGCAGAGCCACCACCTGAGTAGAGGTGCTGTGCTTGCCCACATCCTGCTCCCCTGCTCACCATATCCCTCTAGGCCTCTTCACTCAGAAGTGGCTTTTCCATTTGACCCCACCAGTCATAGGTCTGGACAAAAAAAGAGATGCCAGGAAGACCTATGTGTACCTCTCAGCTGGGGCTATCTGAGCTGTGAAATGTAGCTCTGACAAGAACTCCTGCAGAGTGTGCACAGTATTTCCAGGATTTTGATACTGCTAATGAGTAGACGCTTGTATAAATAAAATACCTTCTGATATGTGATTTACAAAACATCAAGATTTTCAGTAATTTAGGATTGAATTACACCCTGTTGTAGCACATAAGGGGAAGGATTAGGGCACTGCAGCTCACAGCTGGGCAGCTAAACCCACTTTTCCTGTTCAATCGTCTGCCTTTGATCTGTTTCTCTTTAATATTCAGCTGAAATTCAGCTGATATTCAGCTGAAAGACTTCAGCCATGCTCGAATCAGTAAGGTACCACTGGATGAATGCTTGTGCTCTTTGTAAAGTGAAATTTGGCACCTGACTGGAGGAACCACAAGCCCCCAGCAAATCCTGGATCCCTCCCCATTATTGGGTCAGGTGCTGCTGAGAATTGGCAGCCAAGCAGCGCAGGGCTCTCAAGCCTCCCTGGCACAACCACAAGGACCGGTCAGAAAATCCCTCCCAGGAGGTGATGAAAAACCCCAGGGTGCCACCAGCATCCCCCACACCAGCCAACAGAAACCCTCCATCACTACAGACCTGCAGCATCCTTTGCCAAATGTTATAGTTCCCTTTTGTTAACATCTGTGCTGTTCAATTATTTGCCTCTGTCAGCATGACCAAGTGATGGGATGGGCTCTGCAGGATTTCTGTTGATCCTCCTCCATATCTGGCTCACTGACCACTCAAGAAACTTCCCTTTCCTTTATTTTACTCAATTTCTTCCTTTGATGTAATGCTAAATAAAATCTACCTATTGTTAACCACACCTCACAACAGCAGTGGTTATGTTTGCTGCTGGTTTAGTTTCCAAGTAATTTAAATAGACAACTGAGCCATGAGGAGAAATTACAAAACATCCTTTCCCCCTGGACATCATGGCATGGCAGGCCATTAATATTTCTTTAGCACAGCAAACTTTGAGGCTTGAAATACATACCTTGGTTTGTCAAATGGGATAATTATTAACATTTTCAACTATGCAGCTAATGAGTTCCTGTGTTACAGTGAATGTGTAGAGTGGTGTTGTACAGTGTTTCTCACACCAATTTCTTGGGAAATCTGGGCCTGTAATTTGGTGCAGTCCTCACAGCAGGAATGCGTTTCATCTTCTAAGGTGACGTCAGCCACTCTTGTCCTGGCATTAAAAGTCAGCCAATGTACCTTCCAGCTTTCCCAGGCAATCAGCAGCCAGAAAATCAGTGTTGGGTTTGGGAACACCAGCGTCAGGAAGTGTGAAGGTGGTTGTCCTGCCTCTGGTGTCAGGGCTACCCTCTGGGAACCAGCCCCAGTGCAACACCCCCTCTGTTTCAGTGAATGCCCAATCTTTCCTTCAGCAGCACCTACAAGTGCTTGGCAGTGCCACACTGGGGACACGATGGATAGATCTCCCCCCAGGAGAACTCGGGGGTTGGAAGTCACTTTAGGGTCTTAGATGATTTTCTCTCCTTCCCCTGGGGAAGGCAGGGCCAGTGGGAAGCGGCTGGGTACCAGCAGCACTGGAGCATCCCCGCAGCTACCAGGGGCACCAGGACATCCCCTGCTCTGTTTTTATGGTGCTGCCTGCTCACTTCCATTTTCAGAGGGTGGCATAGCTGAAAGTGAAGCTGTGCACCCCTCGGGGGAGACATTCTGGAGAACACCAGCCGGTTCCCCAACTCCACCGCAGAGCAATATTGTTTCACCACAAAAAAATCTCAGTGGCCAACACACAGCAGGTCTGGAGCAGCCCCTGAGAAGCGCTGGGCTCTGCATCCCATTAGGGCTGCCCGGAGGAAGCTAGACAGGATTTTTATTAAATCAAGCTCAGTCAATGCTTAAAGAAGGGTTTTTTTGAATTACAAGCTGAACCTCATGTTTGGTGCCCTGCCAAGCTCAGGATAGTGCGAGGAAGAAAAGGAGATGTATTTTTGGACTCCATGTCTGCTAACAGGCTGTTAGATAAAATTAAAGAGGCTGTTTATAAAGAATCCACTAGTGCTGAAGCAGATGTGGAGGCCCGAGTTTATGACAAGATATATTTCTGGTGTTGGCACGAACAATCAATTTCATTCAGGACTTTCCTCATGCCGTAATGATTTGTTGCTTTGGGGTTGATTTCTTTTTTATTTATTTCATTATTTTAACTGAAACTGGCACAATGCCCTCATTACTTGTGATAAACTTGTTTGTTTACTTATGTCGTGGTAACCAGAGAGCTGGACTCGGGCTCTGCTTCCTTGGATGCTGGTTGTTTCCTACCAGAGCACTTGGAGCTGTCTGACACTGGCACTGTGTTTTAAAAATACACTGCTTTCCTCAGCCTTGCAGGCAGCAAGGGCATTGCTGTGCTTTTACAAGAAAAATCAAGAGCACAAGTGAAGGCACATTGTCATTAATTATGTACGGTTTGGGTTTTTCCTGCCTTGCTGCTCCTCCTTGGACCCTACACGGAGTCCTGACTTCCTTATGGCACAGATAAAAACTTGAAAGAGAGAAACCCAACACGATTGCTGTGATCTAAATCTACAGCAGGGTATTGCATATGGAAGGCATAATATTTGATGGTAAATTTTTGTTTGACATTATAGTAGAAGTTACAGGAAAAGGTGTCATCCTTGGCCTAGGGTTTCAGAAGTGCCACAGGCAGATGGGCTCTTTTAAACCTTCTCTTCCAAAAGGAGAAACTCACAATCTGGACTCAAGCAAACCTTAAAGTCATAAAATTCCAGGTTCCAATAAATCTTTGTTTTATAAAAACACATTGAGCATATATCAAAACAGAAACTGTAAAAGAAATTAAACATGTGTGTGTCACATACTCTGCTGGATGCTCCTTAATAGTTCTACAGGATCAGTGGAATAACGAGGTGCAGTTTTGCTCTGTGAAATTTTGGCACCTCCCTGCAGCGCTGTTGGGCTGCCCAGGGCGCCCACCCGGAACACGAGCAAACACAGGGGAAGGGATGGCAGCTCCACTCTCAGTCCTCTCCCTTCTTTCCCAGTGCAGACAAGCTGGCCTGTAGCTGTATCCCCACAGGCCCTGGGCATCACATCTTCCCTTTGGGGCCCAGCAAAGTGAGGACTTGCTCCTCCAGCCCCACTGAGTGGCAAGGCCATGGCAAACAACAGTGCTGTAAGTCAAAGGGAGGGAAAAGTAAAGTGATATGTAGGAGGAGGATTTGCCTGCCTGTTCCCATAAAGTGAAAGAGCAAAGCAAAATGAAAGGAACTGGGATCACACTGCAGAGACAGAGATTTTAACAAGCTTCTTTTCAGGGCTTTAAAAGATTATGCATGTGACGTAATCTTGACATTTCCTGGCTGGCTGGTGATTTCCTCGGATCAAATGCCCGGAATGCTGGGGACTTGTCACCACCTCGTGCAGCTCCGATTACTTGCAGCACCCCAGGGGACACCAAAGGATTTAGGCACAGGGTTCTGGGGCAGGGGGCAGGACCCTGCGCCCCTCTCCCTGTGCTCCCTCTCACCCTGGCTGGGTGAGACCGGGAGCACATACCTTCCCTTTTAGAAATTCCCCTTAACTTTGAGGGTTGAGGTTTAAGGCTCCTGGCCACGGGTCCTGCACCCAGAAGCCTTGGGAGAGAATAAAGCCTGTGAGAACCCTGGCAGGGACAGACCCTCAGACATTGAAACAATATATAATCTATTTCTTTCATTCTGTTGTAGAATGACAATTTTATAAAATTCCAAGTGACTTGCTGGAGTAGTCAAAATCAAGACCAAAAGCCAGCAAAGCCTTATAAATTTTGGGAATCTTCTTATCATGAAGATTCATCAAATTTCTGCTAGTAGTCTGCTGAAACTTGAAAGTTATGGGGAAAGAGAAAAAAAAGCAGCAAAACACTTATTAGCATTTTGTCAAGCATTGGGACAGGCTTCCCAGCGAAGTGGTAGAGCTGCCAAACTTGGAGGTTGCAACTGGAGTGGGGACCAAGCAGCACACAGTGGCAAACCCCCATCCTGACTTGAGATCCTCAAACATCTGCTGTAGTGGGTAGAAGGAAAAAAAAACACAAACTCTTCCCAGAATATTTTTTTCTGGATTTCCAAAGAGTGTCTAAATTTGGGTTGCACAGGAGCTCTCTATTATTAATTACCCTAAAATAGGTACCAAAGAAGCAAGCAACTGTCTGGGAAGCACTCACACCATGACCAAAGACTCCAGGCAGCTCTTCCCACCTCCTCTTCCCCACCAGGGAACCACTGGCAAACCAAGTCAGCTGGAGGCTGCAGGTGCCAAGGGATCACGGTGGTGGGAGCTGCAGGGGTCACCCTTCTGCTCCTGACCTGGTAGGCTCAGGCTGGCAGTGCCTTTTGCTGTGTGTAAACAGGGAAGCTGCAGCTGAGAGGTTAATGCAATTCCCCTCTAAAAAGTATTTAGAAAGGGCATTTAAAAGAGTATCACTAGCTAGTTTAATGCAACACCAGCACAGCTTTTGTAGTATTTAAAAAGATTAATCCAAATATATAAAAAAATATTTTTTGTTATGATTTCCATGCAAATAGTGTAAATAATTGATAGAAGATGTTGCAACCCTTCCAGCACAGCCCTGCACAGCAGAAAGAGAAAGTGAAACAAAGTGCAACCTGGAAAGCCCCCGAGAGGGCAGGGAGACAAGGCCAGGAGGAGCCTTTGGCAGGGCTCCTGCCTTCCCAGTGCCTGCCCCAGGCTCCCAGTCCCAGGCAAAGTCTGGGCAGAAGGTTACAGCAAGGATTAGTTAAACAGCATGGGTTGTTTTGGTTTTTAGCTTAAATATATCCCATGCTCCGGCTTTTTATACTCACTTGGAGACGCATGGTGTTATTTTCAGGCTTGGGTCACTTCAATTTTATTATTGCAGGTGGCCCAAATAAACTTTCCTGAGGTTTTTCTTGCATGTTTTCTAAAGAGAACTGTAAAATGAACAGTTAAGAGGTTTGTTGGAGCTTTTGAATAAGGATGGGGACAGCTTCCCTATCGGTTTTATAATTATGCACTCCACTTCGCCTCAACCCTGACATTAAATGCATAGTCCCAGTGCCAAAAATTCAACAGTATTTACCTGACAGATGCACAAACCAACTGTTTGTTACAGGCATTTCAGGCAATTTGAATTGTGTCATGCATCCCTGTTTCCACCTTTCTTTCCTACAGTTTGCTTCACTAACAACCTTCACAAAGCTGCATGCACATAATCTGCTTCATACAAACAACCTCCCAAGGTTAATTTATAACCAATTAACTTGAGCTCAACACCTTTGCAAAGGCCGGTGTGAATGCTCAAAATCTATAGCTGGAAATCAAATACAGGTAAATCTCTGATTTAAAAAATAAATAAGGAACATGATTAATAATCCTTTGGTGTTTGGATACCAACCCAAGCAAGTGGAAAACAGAGCAAGGCTAATGACCACACACCCCTTCTAGGAGCAGAGCTACACACTGTGCAGCACAGTCGGTTCTCTCTGAAGCATTTTTAAAAGTCTTCTGTAGGACAAAGGAGTGATCCTGAACTTTAATTGGTTTAAAATAAATGCAGAAAAATAGGAAAATAGGAAAATAGGGAGTTGCCTCTGCAAAAGTCATGAACTAGTGATTAAGCACAGGGGTTATCAACTTGAACTCAAGTTTTGAGAGCACTGAACAGAGAAAAGTCCATGGAAAATATCCAGTTTGCAAGTTTACCTTTGAAAAACCACCTGTGGAGCCTCCTCTGCCTTTTGGCCTTTTTCATGAAATCCAGGAGGTCTCAGTGATGAGAGATTTCTGCACACTGTGGGCACAAGCCACTGCTCTGGAACGCACTGTCTCCTTGTTTATATTTCAGTGCTACGCGTGATTAATCCTCCATTTCATTCATTGTCTTTTTACTTCTCTGCTACTGGGAACAGTAAATAAGAGGGAAGTTGTAACAAGAGCCTCCCTTTTATTCAGAGACCTTCTGTTTCCTGGAGGCTGGCGGCTTCGAAAAAAATCACAGCTCCATTGTGCTCCAAAGTCATGCTGAATGATTCAGATGGAAAGAAAAACCGACGTCAGAAGGAACAGGGGACTCAAAGATGAGTGTTGAGGCCAGCAGACCAGGAACATTGATCCCAGGCAGCAGCACATCCTGAGAATGTTGCACCCTGTGACAGCAGCATTACAGTTTATCCCTCTGTGCCATGGGTCTGTGGAAGACAAGTGCTGCTCCTGGTATTGGGGGTGTCCCTGAGCACCCCTGGCCCCACAGGACTGGCATCGATTGCCGGGGGGTGGTGGAGCAGCAGGAAAATGCTCCTGTCCTACCTGGAGGCCGCAGATCCAGCTCCCAGCAGCTGGGGAGGTGAATTCACTCCTTCCTCCTGGAGCAGGGCTGCCAGCAGTGGAGGTCACACAGGGCAGGAGGAAGGGACAGGGTCACCGGCGGCAGAGGCAGGGAGGGGCAGAGCCTGGGGGCTCCTGTGCGGAAGCAGAGCATGCAGTGATAGACAGTGTTGCCACCACCAAACATCTGGTGCGAATGCTCCCCAAAAACAGATCACTTCCTTCTTCCACCTCAAAGGAAACAGTGTTGGAGGGAGATTCAGATATGGCAGGACTGGTGCAAGGAGGGGTTTAGTTCACCGTCAGCCTCCCATTGGGAGCCACTTAAACATTCCAGGTTGTGACTCTGGGACCAGACATCAGTCTCAGGCAGGTTCTAAGGTCCTGCGAAATGACCCAACAACCCATGTGGGTGCTGAGCTTCTTAGCGCCCTGGAGCAGAAACCCACCAGCACTTTCCATCGGTGGCTGGTATTGCAAAACCAATCCCTCTCTTCCCAAAAGCTGCCCTGGTGCCAAGGGGCTCAGGCTGTGATCAGCCCTCACATGCATTTTCCTGTACCAGTTTTACATTACAGTGCTGCTTCACAGCATCTTCCTCATTGGCAGGCGTCAGGAGAAATGTGTGTCAACAAATCTGAAGTGAGCATAAGCGCCACTATAGTCAAGTCTGATAATAAAACATGAGTCACTGTTACTCAATCATTTACCAGCGCACGTCTTGCATGAAAGTTCTCTCTTCTAGGAATCACCACCACACAAATTTGAGAGTTGTTTTAAAGAGCACCCTGATTTTACTTTCAACTGCCTGATTGAGTTTTCAGGGGGCTGGTTCCTGCTATCCCTCCTTGCAGCCCACCGCCCCATGCTCCCTCTGCTCTGCGTTTCAAAGCCAGGCATGAGGCACCCAGCCCTGGCATGACCTGGTGTTCTGCCCAGGAGTTTTCACACCCAGTATCTCCCCAACACCAGGAGTGAGCTGGCAGCAAGGAGAGGGCTGCTGGGACTGACCCCCCCCAGTTGCCATCTGTAGTGCTGCTGCACAGTGTTCCGGGGATGCGCATTTTCCCGTGGGATGGGATGAGGAAGAGTGTGGTCAACCCCAGCATTTTGGCAAGGGAGACTTTTTCCCATAAAGATATTATTTTCATTGTTTTCTTACATTTCACTTTGGGAAGGAGCAGGAGGTCAGGGATGTCATCCCAGACATTTCTTCAAAACTGTTTTTATCCTTGGTTACAAATGCCCCTGCCAAACACAGCAGCACACGTCCTCGGTTTTCCCTCTGTAAGCCTGATTTTTTGAATGGCTTCTTGGAAAAAGCATTTACATGGTGACCTCTTGCTGCTCTAAGATGTGCAGGGAGATGGGTCCTTTCCAGGCATTCAAGCTGTAGTGCTTGGTCCTTCCTGTTTTTACTGAGGAACTTTTGGGAGGTCAGAAATACATGAATTGAGCTTTTGCTGCCTTAATAGGTGAAAGGCTGCTGGAAGCACGTGGATAAACTTCCTCCGTGCCAAATGACCGCCATTTAAGTAAAACACTTTTTAACAATAGACGCAAAATTTTAAAAGGTGTAGTTAAAAAAAAAAAACCACATTTGCCTGTCTGTCCTCCTTGCTCTGTGCTGCTCTGCCTCTTGCTGCCTAGCTTGATCTCCAGCACTCCTGCTGCAGGGAAGGCTTGAGCTTCTGATGTGGCAAACAGGTAGACTAAGCTAATTTATCACTCAAGTCTTTTATTCCATCACAGAGTGGCAAAAGGGAAGGCTCGTCTCTCTTGTGGGTCACCTCTAATAGCAATTGCTTTCAAGCAAGATGGATTTCAAAATTAGGTGCTCTTGAAGCAGAAGCCACACTGTATTTTTCAACAGCACAAAGCAGCCGTAAGAGGAATCTGACCTTCATTCTTCATAATAAATTCACTGGGGAAAAAAAAAATCCATCTTTGTTTTTCAGCTTGAAGTACTGTCAAAAGAAAAGCCAGGGCACACACAACATTTACAAAATAAAAATACAAGACAACTTCAGCAAAATGATAAAAAATTCAGAGATTTACTTTTCCTGCTTTTTCTTACTCAAACATTGGAATAGTCTGACAGCTTGCCTGCAAGTACATTGTTTTGAAATAAAGGTTGGTGTTAAAATGGATCTATACTAAGCTAAATTAAGACCACCTCAAAGCAGTTTTCAGATGTAGAATGCAATCCAGTAGCTAAATCTGGGAAAAAGTTTATCAATACACATCCACATTTAGGCACTTCATTGGACTTAGCACGTTTGTAAAACGTCTCTGAATGTATTTCATGTGCTAAAATAATATCTGCTGCAGCCTGCCAAAGGAAAATGCCAGTTATTTTCTGCTAAAGCGCCCCAAAAAGATGTGATCTGCAGAGAAGTACAGACTCGTAAGCTAAAGAATATAATGGAGGAATGCTTGAAAATATTTGGCATTTTACTGTTACTAATAAGATGATTGGTATATTTGAGTCCTAAAAACCTGTAGCTGGTCAGCTGCCACTGGCACAGCCTGGAAATGGTGAAAATTAATTGTCGCTTGTATTAAACACTATCTTTGTATTTTGCCATGTCTCAGTTACAGACTCTGTATTGAATAACTCATTATAACCCAACACAGCACATTGCCTTTATTCCTTTAATCTCCTGTCAGGCATAGCTGGGAATGTTTATTCTAACTAGCAGGTCTAACTCTTAGGCTAGCAAGAATTAGGAGAGGTTTTTTCCAAGCTCGGCTTGTCCCCCATCCAGAGAACCTAATGCTGTGGCTGCAGTCCACCTGGCTCCTCTTCTGGAGGAGTTACTCAAATCCATCTTCCCATTTTCCAGCAAGCCTAGACCCAGCTGTTACTCAGCCTTTTCTTTCAGGATGGGCTGGTTGCACTGATAAAAGCAGCTGTAAAGAGGCTGTGTCAGCAGTGCCCTAATTAAGCTGCAGAAATCAGCCACTTCACACCCCTTAGTTCAGGTTTCCAGGGGTGCGTTTGCCTGGACAGAAACATTTTGTTAAATAAGCTCAGCTTTTTGCTAGAGCTGGTGTGATCACTGAAAGCTCGGCAGGAGGGATGAACACTGTCCATACATTTAGTTAAACCAGTTTAAAATTACAGAGCATATCTAGCATATCTAGGTGGCTGCAACTGCAGCTC